TGTTTGTAATTAGTAGGTATATATTAAGTTCTTATATTTATTAGAATTTGTACCTCTGTATATAATTATACCCATTGGCCATTACTTCTATAGGAAAATTCTGTATGGAAATTTTAAAAAGAATAATGTGTCTTGATGTTATTATACTTTTCTATTTATTTTTCCTTATGAAAGTGTGAAATAAAATAAAATAACCTAAGTATAAATGATCATACTTTTGTTAGTATCCCCTGCTTGTCATCAATTTCGCACGCATATTCCATGAGACTCGGGGAATGTTTTTAGCTTTGTTTTTCAATCTTTAGGTTGCTATAAGATGCATTACACCACTATTGTATATAAGAATCATTTTTATTATGGACTAATTCACCATAATCATTTATCTGCCAAGTATAGCACTAACATAACTAGACATTGTTGGTGGTTATATACATGAACAATATAAATAGAGATTTCAAAATTTTATTTTATAATTATAAGATATTACCTATATASAATAAATTTTTAATAAAAAATCATAAAAAAAAAAATCATCCCAGTTTAATGATATATTTCAACAAGTCATCATCAAAGTTAGTACTGACGATTTAACATTTCCTAGTTGATTTCTCAAATAATTTTTTTTAATAAACTTATAGTGTTGAAAAACTCTGGTTAGCAGTGAAAAAATTGTTACTTTTAGTATTTTTATGTATTTTATTTTGTCGTATGTATCATATTATATTTTTAATATATACTGCATACACTATTCATATTATCACCTGAGATAAATATTGAGTATTACTAATTCTATAAATTATCTTTTATCAATGAGTATTTTAGTAAAATATTTAATATAGGTTAATGGTTCATGTATCGTGTAATAAAATATTACCTTAAATCATTAATAGGTAATGACTTTTTTTTAGGTCAAGTTTGAAGTGTAACGAAATGCACTCGAAAGGAGAGTCCAGTCAAGCAAAGGATGACATTGATTTACTAGACGAATTACTAAAAAAAACTAATTGTGCTCACTTACATTATAAAGTCCAAGACTGTATAGCTAAAACAAAAGACTGGAGAAAGTGTCAAGCAGAAGTAAAAGAGTTTAAATTGTGCATTGAGAAAAACCAAAAACTTGCAAACAAAGAAAATGTTTGATATTTCCAATCATGAGTTCATTACTCCATTTGTTGTTGGTCTTTTAATTGGCTCAGGAGTTTCATATGGGTATCGCAATATTCGGCCACTTCTCTCTGGATCATTAAATGGACTTTCTGTAAATAATAAACTTGTACTGGTAGTCAGAAATGATTTGGGAATGACTAAAGGTAAAATAGCAGCACAGTGTTCCCACGCTTCTGTTGAATGTTATAAAGCGGCAATGCAACATCAACCTCAAATGGCAAAAATGTGGCTAATGACTGGACAAAGAAAGATTGTAGTTAGTATTGGCAGTGGTGAAAAAGGTCTTCAAGAATTATCAAAGGTTGCAAAATCCCATAAAGTGCTTTCTTGCATTATATATGATKCTGGAGCAACTCAAGTCAAAGCAGGAACATCTACCRTAATAGGTATTGGTCCAGCTAACTCCGATGTTATTGATCAAATTACTGGCCACTTAAAACTAATTTAATTTGTAGAACTTCAATATAGCATTTTATTTTTGAATGTTAATTTTGTTTATTATTAAATTACCTATTAATTTCATTTTACATAAGTAAAACATTTTTTAATAAACTTAATATTTCAGTTTATCAAAATTTTAGGTACAGAATTAGAGAAATTTCAAGTGTTTTTTTGCTTAGGTACCTACTGGGCACTAACTAATGGTAATAGTAAATACTTAATTTGACTAAGATTCTTAGTTTAATATAAATAAATATATATTTTACTAATATGTCAATACATTAATATTGGTGTCAATGCCTCATTAAATCCAGTTACAGCTTCAAAGTTATTTAACACAAATGTAAAAATAAAATATATTATTATTATTATTATATTATGTACAAATATAAAGTAGTAACTAGTGGGTATACAAGGTGTGTTTTGAGTTCAAATTATTAATGGACACTGGAGTAAATTTAAAACTAATACAAATACCATAGAAACTGGAATAATCAATGTGGATATTAAATAAAAATCTGTACTTAAAACTTTTTCTCTAAATTGAGACATGAATTAGATAGGATATTATTTGAATTAATAATTTGTGTATCCCATAATCCTTATTAATGAGATACCTATCCATTTTTAATTTTTATATTTTTAATTAAATCACCTATATTCAAGTTGTTTGAGTGGGTACCTAACCAACTAACCAATAATCCTGCCGCTGTGGCAGTGCACTAATACAGTATGTCCCATCTTACATGTRCCATAAAAATCTGAGCCCGGTGATCTTAGCTTGAAAAACGTTCCCTATGATCAAAACTTCAACTGGGGTGGCCTGAACCTCCTCTCCAAGAAATTTTACAGTACAAGTACAAGTTTTTATATTTTAAGTGTAAAAATAATAATTGTCCACTGTCTAGTAACACTGGTCAATAAACTACTATGCACAATAAAAATAAATKTTGGACTCCCTCGAATTTTTATTTATTCTTTTTACAGTCTTGACCGGTAAAATAACAAAATGTYAACTCCTTTGGTATGCCAGTGCGTACCTAATCAATTTCAGTTTTTTTTTTAAAGCAGGTGTTCCGCAAGGTGCAGTTATTGCACCACTCCTTTTTAACATCCAAACCGTGGACCAACTAACTACCTTCACACTACACCTCAGAGACTGTCCACAACTATTCCTTAATAATCAACCTCTACCCTACTCTCAAAACATTAAATATCTTGGACTAACCCTAAACCGCCTGCTCACATGGGCTCCTCATATACATTCCAAAYGTCTAACGCTCAATGATCATAGCTGCCAGCTGTGACACCTACTGACCTCTAAACATGTTCATCTAAACAACAAACTTAGTTAGTTTAGGGTATACAGTTCTGGGGGTCAACAGAACTTACTAACATCAATAGAATACAAATCTATCAATCCAAAACTCTAAGAGAAATCACTAAAACACCTTATAGGTTTCCAATCACACACTCCATCATGACCTCTCCATTGCCTTTATTGCAGACGTGGCTAAAACACACTACAAAAGATTCTATGACAACCTCTTAAACCATTGAAACCCAGTCAAGCATATMTCTTCCTTGACTATTCCTGGAAATCCTCCCAAAGGGCTAAAGCACAAGTGGTGTAAAGGCCTAACAAACTAATTCAATCTTAATATTCATGTTTTGTTTTTTTATYGTAGWACCTCCACTGGGAGGCTTCTATACTCTTTTATATCTATCTATTTTTATTACTATCTATTACCTCAGTTGTACTTACTGTTCTTTTTTGAAACAGATTGAATAAAACATTGTAAAAAAAAATTTTTAATTTCAAACTTTTATTTTTGAAACCCAATAAAAATAAATATTTTTGTTCAAAGTAATTTTGATCCATTGTCATGRTCCTAAACCTAAAATTGACCGAGTTACAGGCTATCATAATTTTTAAAATTTCAAAATAATTTGATTTTTCCAAAAAAACTGCAATATTTGTAATGAGCAGATATTTTCATAGATTGGAAATATTTCTAATGAAATAAAATGTAAATTATTAGTCTAATAAAAAGTATAACATTTCYCTCAATATTTTCTCAAGACTTCYATCTCTTCCAATTGTCAAGGTACTTCTCAATGCTACTTAAATCTCTTGTKAATAAAAAAAAATCRATTTATTTTATAATTTCAAAAATAATTTTTTATTTCTTTTCTAATGAAAAATKTATTCATATTCCATTAATATATAATATTATTTAATATTTATTACCTATTTTTTTCCATGTCAATAACACAATGATAACACTTATCTTTTAAAATAATATCAAACAACTCTCTATTAAAATATTATTGACTTTGAAAAAAGTTTTAAATCC